CCCTCCCCCCCCCATGTCTCTCTCTCTCCCCCTATGTCTCTTTCTCTCTCCCCCCATCTCTCTCTTCTCCCCCATCTTTCCTCCCCCCCATCTCTTTCTCTCTCCCCCCCCTCTTTCTCTCTCCCCATCTTTCTCTCTCCCATCTCTTTCTCTCTCCCCCATCTCTTTCTCTCCCATCTTTCTCTCTCCCATCTTTCTCTCTCCCCCCATCTCTTTCTCTCCCCCCCATCTCTTTCTCTCTCCCCCCATCTCTTTCTCTCTCCCCCACATCTCTTTCTCTCTCCCCCCCCATCTCTTTCTCTCTCCCCCCATCTTTCTCTCTCCCATCTCTCTTTCTCTCTCCCCCCATCTCTCTTTCTCTCCCCTCTTTCTCTCTCCCCCCATCTCTTTCTCTCTCCCATCTCTTTCTCTCTCCCCCCATCTCTCTTTCTCACTCCCCCCATCTCTCTTTCTCTCTCCCCCCATCTCTCTTTCTGTCTCCCCCTACAACCCCAACCCCGTCTCTCGCTCTCTCCGATTCTTTTTCTCTCCCCGTTTCTCTTCATCTCTTAATGTCTCTCTCCATATCCTTGTCTCTCTCTCTCTCTCACCTCTCCCCCAGGAGGGAAGTATGTTCCTCGGGCTGTCTTGGTGGATCTGGAACCAGGGACAATGGACTCTGTCCGATCCGGACCCTTCGGCCAAATATTCCGACCAGATAATTTCGTTTTTGGTGAGTTTCTGTGGATCATACATATCAGAGAGAGAGTCAGGGGATGGGTCGAAGTGTGAGAAGATGATTTACTAGAGAATTGGAAAGCCGGGATGGGTGGGAGGGAGATGGGTGGAGACTTGGGGAGTCAGGATGGATTGAGGTGTGAGAGCGATGAGATGTAAACGTGGAAAGGAATTTTTTACAGTGGGGTTTATCATTGGCAGGTCAGAGTGGAGCGGGCAACAACTGGGCCAAAGGGCACTACACGGAGGGAGCTGAGCTGGTGGACTCGGTGCTGGATGTGGTGAGGAAGGAGGCCGAGAGCTGCGACTGTCTGCAAGGGTTCCAGCTCACGCACTCGCTGGGCGGTGGGACGGGCTCGGGGATGGGGACCCTGCTGATCAGTAAGATCCGGGAGGAGTATCCGGACCGCATCATGAACACGTTCAGCGTGGTGCCGTCCCCCAAGGTGTCGGACACGGTGGTGGAGCCCTACAACGCCACCTTGTCCGTGCACCAGCTGGTGGAGAACACTGACGAGACTTTCTGCATCGACAACGAAGCCCTGTACGACATCTGCTTCCGCACGCTCAAACTGACCACCCCCACCTACGGCGACCTCAACCACCTGGTGTCGGCCACCATGAGCGGCGTCACCACCTGCCTGCGCTTCCCCGGGCAGCTCAACGCTGACCTGCGCAAACTGGCTGTCAACATGGTGCCCTTCCCTCGCCTGCATTTCTTTATGCCGGGCTTCGCCCCGCTCACCAGCCGAGGCAGCCAGCAATACCGCGCCCTCTCCGTGCCTGAGCTGACACAGCAGATGTTTGACGCCAAGAACATGATGGCGGCCTGCGACCCGCGGCACGGACGTTACCTGACGGTGGCCGCCATCTTCCGTGGTCGCATGTCCATGAAGGAGGTTGATGAGCAGATGCTGAACGTGCAGAACAAAAACAGCAGCTACTTCGTGGAGTGGATCCCTAACAACGTCAAGACGGCCGTGTGCGACATCCCACCCCGTGGCCTCAAGATGTCCGCCACCTTTATCGGCAACAGCACCGCCATCCAGGAGCTGTTCAAGCGCATCTCGGAGCAGTTCACCGCCATGTTCCGGCGCAAGGCCTTCCTGCACTGGTACACGGGCGAGGGAATGGACGAGATGGAGTTCACCGAGGCCGAGAGCAACATGAACGATCTGGTGTCCGAGTACCAGCAATACCAGGATGCCACGGCCGAGGAGGAGGGAGAGTTTGAGGAGGAGGAGGGTGAGGAGGCAGGCTGAATGGTCGCTTGTGCCCACTGTCTGCTCACCTGCCACCCACCTGTGTGACTCTTGTCTGAGTTCTTGTCTTCGTTCGCTCTCCATCTTCACTTTGTGTCTGCGTCTATCTCAATTCTGGTGTTCACTCTCTCAGTTTTTGTCCTCTCTTCATCAAACTTTACCCTCTCCCAATCTTTCTTTCTGTAGTCTCAATCTTCACTATATTCTCTCCCAGTCTTTGCTCTCTCTCCCACTCTTTGTTGCTTCTCTCTCTCTCTCGATCTTTCTTCGCTCCTTCTCTCTCTGTTTCTCATTATATCTCTCTTTCGCTTTCCTCATTGTAATCGTGTGCAAATTTTAATAAAGCACTGATTTTTGAACAATTATTTATGTCTGTGAGTATCGTCACAGGAACCTTTCGCTCCCACTCTGCTGTTAACGCACCTTTGCTCAGTCCGAGCACCCGATCCAGCGTGAACAACGTTGAAACATCTCCAAGCAACTTGCTCCCTGTCGTGAGACACTTTATCGGGCGCCTTCTGCCAATCCTGATACGTTGCCAGGCCTGTAAGGAAGCTATCGCAAAGCAATTCATAGAAAATTGGTGTCAAGAGTAGTGACTGTGTGACTTGAGTATTTGCTGTTAACTTAAAACGCGCTCACATTGTCTCACACACCCGTTGTTTCATACATTAAGGCACACACTCTCACTCACTGACACACACACACAGTCTCAATCACATACTCGCCCCGAGTCCTTTACAGAAACACTCTCATGCACACACTCGCAAACGTCGGCACTTGCATGTTCGCACTTACTCACCAATCATCACAAACGGACACACAGGAACTGTCTCACAACCTCACACAGATTGTCTCACCCACGTCAGACACGAACATTCAAAAGAATTCTTCTGGAGAAGGCTGCGGACGAGTATATGTGAATGTCCAGGAGAGTGAGAGAGTGAGTGTGTTCGGAGGATTATTTCTTGTGAATGCAGATTCCACAAATGTTTTGCTGCTGAGACAGGACAGTAGATGTCTTGACGGTGCACACGATAAAATGTCACTGTCTTGAGGGTGTAGCTATCTTCTTCTTGCCCAGGATGGCGGGGCCATGGATAGTGAATACAATTGATGTAATTCAGTGGAACTTAAAGGAAGAAAATGGAGTAGCTTCACTAAGATATTAGTTCAGCAGAAATATTGACGCAGTGGGAGGTCAATCATTTCTCGTTGGGCTGATCTTTCTGAGATGTGACTGATGGCTTCTTTCTGAGCACCTGTTCACCTCCTGCTCGTCCCTCTCACTTTCTGCCCCACTACCTGGTCGCGATGGCTGTTTCCGATCTGCGGTCATATTCATTGGCCTAATACTGAGAAAGACACGTTTTCTCCGCCTGCCATACTCGTCTTTGTTCCACACCCCAGTGTGACGCCTGCACCTCGCGCTGCATTTCATCATCGATAGCTCTGTCTGGCTGACCGTGGCCTTCACCTTCGACTGTTTCACTGCCATCTGCTGCCCAAAGCTCAAAAGCAAGTACTGCACCGAGAGGCCGGCGGGCCTGGTGATCTGGACAATCCGGGCATTTTGACGTACGGAGAACATCCCCATCTGGACCCAAGCTGGGGGTTGGGAACAGGAGGGCAGGGAGGGTAGGAGCCTGGCTGAAGGCGCAGGCAAAGAGGAAGATCTCTTACAATAACTTGTATTGACACACCGCCTGTTATGTAGGGTTACGTGTCGGAACGTTTCACATGGACGGGGTTGAAGACTGAGGGGGTGGGGAGGGGAGGGGGGGGACAGGTGACAATAGACATGATCAGTGGGAGGTTCTTAGACAGGACCGTGGAGTCCTGTGGTTCAGTGATTAGAGCGCTTGACTCGCAAGCGGAAGGACTCGGGTTCGATTCCTGGGACGGGAGAAACCTTAGACATATTTCCTTACACCACACATTCTGTTTACCTATCAGGAGGAACCTGTTCCGCCCACAAAAATTCACAGTTCATTCACTTTACAATATTCTGTGAAGTGCTTTGAGACATCGCAACAAAGTGATAAGGCGTTATATGAAAATGCAAGGTTTATTATTATTATTATTATTATCAGTTGAGGATAAATGAACATAACTAAAGAACATGATGCAGTGCAAAAAGGACAAGTAATACAGCTAATTGCAGGAGGGCAAAAGCAAAATAAAAAACACAACAACAAGGATCAATAGGAAAATAAACAGGAGATAAAAGAAGCAAAGCAAGATTTATAAAGTTTGTATGTTCATCTCTGCAAAAGTTTTCCCTCCTGCCCTCACACAGTCACCTGTGGCTCCATCCTTGGCCTCCTTCTTTTCCTCATTTACATGCTCCCTCACAGCGATGTGGGGTAGACTTCCACATGTTTGCAGATGACACCCAAATCTACTCCTCATCCGGCTGTGACTCGAGGTCTCCGGATGTCCTATCAGCTTGTTTGCTGGACATTAAGTCCGAGATGAGTACAAACTTCCTGCAGCTGAACATCGACAAGATGGAAGCCATATCCCTTTGGCTCCCGTGAACATCTTCTCTCCTGCGGCTCATACCCCCTCAACCTCCATAGTCTATCCCTAACACTCACCAAATCTGTACGTAACAGTTAGGTTCGATCACTAGCTGTCCTTCCTACCCCACATCCGGTCCCTGACCAAGACCGTTTCCTCCATTGCCCAACTCTGACCCTATCTCTCTCCAATGCAGCCCAAGATTCCTGCCCACTGTTTGTCACCTCCCACTGTCACCTCCCACCTCGATTATCCGAATGCCCTCCTTATTAGTCTCCCCAACTCCACTATCCACAAGATCCAACTAATTCAGTACTCCATTGCCCAGATGCTCCCCCTAACTACACCCTGTATTACACCAGTCCTCGCCAGGCTCCACTGGCTCCCTGTCGCAGAACAAATCGACTTCAAGACTCACAATCCCTTCATCTTCAAATCCCTTCATGCCCTGGCAAGCTCCCTATCTCCCTGACCTGCTTACTCCCCATTCCACCATTCGCTGCCCCGCTCAGCCAGCTCTGGCCTCCTGCTTGTCCCTTGTCCCCTCCACCATTGGCGGCCTGGTTTCAGCCACTACGTCTCCCTCCCTCAGACCTTCCACCTTGACTGCACCTCCTCCTTTTTCAGATCACGCCCTGAAGCCTTTCCAATTCAACAGTGTTTACGGTCATATCCTCCCTACCCCCAGCTTGGCGTCAGGCTCTGCCACTGCCAAGCTTTCTGAGACCCTATATCAATGCAAGTTGTTGTTGGTGGTGACAAGTAATACAGCCAAGTGCAGGAGGGCAAAATAAATAAAAATATCCCAAAATCGACCAAAAAATCGACCAATAGGAAAATAAAAAGGGAGATAAGGAAGAAAAGGAGGGTTTATAAAATGTTTGATTCCCTCTCCCCCATGTAATCCCTTCCCCCACCACCTTGTATTCCCATAAACAAGAGACAGAGAATCACATGGAAATTGGGGTGAAACCACGTCACTGTTAATACAATGACCGGCAGATTGTCAGAGGCTCAGGGTTTATCCCGAAAATATTATACCCGAGACTGAAGAGAGGATAAAGTTTCTCAGTAAATGTTTGGGTGAAAGTGTGGAGATGAGACATGTTGTCAGCGTTGTAAAATGACACCTGTCCCCCCTCATAGTCCAGGTACACCCCGATCTTCCCGGGTCTCACTGTCAGGGGCAGGGGGGTGGGAGGGGAGGACAGAGCATGATAGTCCCCCCCCCCCAACCGCAGACCCCAGACCCCACCCTCTGGTGACCAAGTGATTGGTTGTTTCCTGTTGACGGACTCTCTGGCCACCCCGACATCCCACTCAGTCTTGTTGCCCACCTGCACCTCCCAGTAATGTCTCCCTGATGTGAAGCCCTCAGATCCCAGGACGATGGGATAGTAACTAAACCTCTTCGGGATGTCAGGGAGCGGCTGCTGTTTGTCTCCGTCTCTCACGCTGGTCCGGTCCTCAGACAGGATGAGCCAGGGATGGGCTGTGTCAGGATCCAGAGTCAGAGCGGCCGGAGCTAAGAGAGAGAGAGAGAGAGAGAGAAGTAACATAAAGTGAAGTGATGGGGTCACGGAGCAGGGGGGCTGCAGGAGGGAGGGTGGGCACTAGGGTGACAGATCCACATCAGAGGGTTAGATGGTGAATACAGGATAAACAGCACTAATCGTGTGCCGCCGGCAGAGTGCGCCGGTGAGTGACTGGAGCCGCTCAGGTTCCAGGTGAGTGTCAGATATTCACACACCTTCAGTCTGAGAATGGGAGACATGTACCGGGGCTGATGCTGTGTATTATCTCTCTCCAGACTGCGTACTGTATAGGCCCTTTGTATATCCCCACCGGCAGATCACCCTCAGACACTGACAGCTCAGAACCCTCCTCGCTGATCCTGAAATAAGAAATAAGAAATATAAAGTGAAACTACACGTTGTGTTTGGTTTGCGCATTAAATTCTGGGATTAAATTTTCTAAAGATCGTTTCAACAACAACAACTTGGATTTATATAGTGCCCTCCGCGCTGGACGGCGTCTCAGAGCGCTTCACAGTAACGGATCCCAGGGCCGGGATTTCATACCTTCTCGTCCGAGCGCTTTCCTCCTAAAGAAATAAAACACAGACAAATCTGAGCTCACACTGAGGCACAACATTGTCAACTTAGATGCAGTGAATAGAATTGTACAGCACAGTTTATTGGGATCAAAACAATAATAACAATCCTTGCATTTGGTTTAGCGACTTAGCATTTCAAGACGTCTCAGTGTCTTTCATGGGATAGTCTGTAAAGTGGAGTGAATGTGTTTTGTGGACTTTACAGGAATGTTTAGTCACTCAATGTCTCCAAAGACAAGAAAGTGATGTTCAGGTATTTAGGTGTGGTTGCGGACAGGGACACACAATGAGACTCGCTTACAGACACACTCTCACACCCAGAAACTTACAGATACTCACCTGAAAATAGAGTAAATAGAACAGGATTACACTGTCATTAGAAGATAAATGATAACATTCTCACGCACGGATAAATAAATGTTAATCCCAGGATAACCACAGCTGAGGTGTCCCTGGATGTCGGCTTTGCAGGGACACTGCAGACCCTGAGAGTGACTGATGTGGGTTTAGTTCTGTACCGAGTGACAGCAGCAGAGTCGCTATCAGAATATATCAAATAATCAATAAAATCACTGGGCTTTTTAACAGTCAGACATTGATTTTCTGCTCCAGACTGTGTGTAACTTTTACTGAACTCAATTATAATTTAATCTCTTTACCTGCAGAAAGGTGAGTGTGTCTTTTTCCAACTGTCTCTGTAACTCTGAGAGATTTTTTTGGACAGAATCTAAATTTCTTCGAATCTCTTGCAGATTATTCTCCATTCGGTGTAAAACCTCCTCCTCTCGCTTTCTGAGCTCTGTCATCATACGCTGCTCTTTGTCAAAAAGACTCTGGTGCATTTTAGCAAACTCAAGTGCCATGTAGTTCTGTAGACTGTCCGCCTGTTTCTGCAAAATTAAGCGTCGGACATCACACTGCGCACAGTAAAGAGAGAAACATGACTGAGAGCCCAGACATCAGCCCCGACACGACTTACCTTAACTTGCGAAACCTTTTGTTTCTGTTTAAGTTCAGCTTCTAGAGCAGCGGCCTTCCTCTGTGTGAGAGAGTCTAAGGATGCTTTCATTTTATCCTGGAATTAAACATAAGCAGTGAGAAACCTCTTGTTTAAACAAACACAGAATGAGGTACGACTGAGCACAATTGATGAGCTGGTGATTACCTTATAAATCTGAACAGCCTCCTGTATTGGCTTGAAGTTGTGATTTCTGTGTCTATGAGCATCTCTACAAATCAGACAGATCAATTTCTTGTCAGTTTCACAAAACAGCTTCAGTTCCTCCTGATGTTCCTCACAGCGACGCTCACTTTGTCTCAGTGTCGGAGTCAGGCTAAGACATCGAGCTCTCTCCACCAGACTCATCAGGGCCCGATTAACCCTCAGTTTACTTTTACCAACAACCTGTCGACATTCAGGACAGGAGTTCTTCTTCTGTGTTTCCCAGCTCCGCATGATACAAGATCGACAGTAGTTATGGCCACACTCCAGAATAACGGGATCGGTAAAGAGATTTAGACAAACGGGACAGTTTAGCTCCTCAGTCCAGCTCTGATCCTGGTGTCTGGACGCCATGTTCACCTTCAGTTCTCTCTGGTTCTAACTCTACTAACAATCTTGGGGTGTCTGTGGTGTGTGTGACCCGCCCTGCATTAGAGTTCACTTCACTCGCTATTCGATGTATCTTCAACGTTGTAGCTGGGATTGTGACTAAAGTCCAGGATTGAACTGAAGAGATTAATGGGTAAACAGGACAAAGTTCATTCCAGTGTGGGCGAGGAGACAGGGCGAGAAGATAACAAACCCAGAGAGTGTGGAACGAGGAAAAGAAACTGGCTCCAACAATCCTGATCTCTCTACTCTCCACATGGACACTTCCCTATTGGGGACTAGTTATACTTCTTATAAAACGATTTAGTCAATCGTCAGAACAGCAGCAGCAACTTGCACCCGCTACGCAGGGTATTGTCTCAGAGTGGCAGAGCCTGACTCCGAGCCGGGGGGGGGAGGTGGCCATAAGCACGTTCGAAGAGGAAACTTGAAAGAGGGGAGGGAAGGGGCCTGGTGGAGGGATTGTGGGAGAGTGTTCCAGAGTTTGGGGGCTGAAAACACGACCTCCGATGGTGGGGCAGAGGGTGTGAGGGACGAGCAGGAAGCTGGTGCCAGTCGAGTGGAGGAGCTGGATGGTGGATTGGGGAGTGAGGAGGTCGGAGAGGTAGGGATGCGCCAGGTCGTGAACAGATTTGAACACAATAGTGAGGAGCTTGAAGTCGATCCATTCGGTGATGGGGGAAGCCAGTGGAGCCTGACCAGAACTGGTGAGATGTGGGTACAGAGTTTGGTCTGTGTCAGCAAGCTTGTGAACGGTGGAGCTGGGGAGACAGGCGAGGAATGTGTTTGAGTAATCCAAGCAGAAGGTGGCAAACGCATACACGAGGGTTTCAGCTGCATTTGGGATAAGGTACGGTCGGAGGTGGGCAATGTGGCGGAGGTGGAAGAAAGCGATCCTTGTCAGGGACTGGATGTGTGGGTGGAAGGACAAACACCTAAGTTGTGCACTGGTTCGGTGAGTCTGAGGGAGAACCCAGGGAGGTTGAGGAGTTCAGATCCACAGGAGTGAAGACGTTGATGGGAGCCAAGGAGTATGGCTTCCGTCTTGTCCACATTCAGCTGCAGGAAGTTTACATTCATCGAGGCCCCTGATGTTTGCCAGACTAGTTGACAGAACATCGGCAGACCTGGAGTTGGTACTGGAGGAGGCAAAGTAGATTTGTGTGTCATCCGCAAACATGTGGAAGTTTACACTGTGTCTGTGGATGACATCACCCAGAGGGAGATATAGATAATGAAAAGAAGAGGGCCATGGATGGAGCACAATTGGATGCCATGTTTTGTTCACACAATGTATAGTTGATTCACTTTACAGTATATTCTGTGAGGCGCTTTGAGATGTCTCAAAGATGTGATAAGGTGCTATATCAAAAGCAAGGATTATTATTATAAACACTATGGTCACTACAGCCCCCACAGAGACACACCCTCACTCTCTCTTATATCATTTTGACAACATTTTTCTTTTTTTTTAAAACCACTCCTTAAACTTCAGCAAAATCTTCAAATTATATTATATTCGGTTGAATTCTGCTGCTTAAACATGTTGCACCATCTCTCTATCTGTTCGCTGATCAACAATATTTCCTTTTATAACTCAAACCCAAATAAACTTCAAGTACTATTGACCCGACATCCGGTCGTCACCACAGATAACCGGCGCCATCTCCTCCTCCTCCTCGTGTTAAGCTCTTCCTGCGGGAGGTAAGACAGCAGCTGCCGGGACTCGCTCCTCGAGCACTGTCCGCCCTTCCCGCACTTGTGTGATGCGTGAAGTGACTCCCACGATGTATGTGGTGGCCACTGTCTCCCTTCACACACTACCCGCCTGTGGCTGCCTCCCGTTCCCGCTGTGTCTGTGAGTCTGTGTGAGGGGAGGTGACGGCTCCCAGAACCAAGTGTTTGACACACACACCTCCTGGCACTCTCTGCCTTTTGACAGCCCATAGTATTAGATGGTGGCCCCCAGGACAGACCCTCTCAATGGTCACCATTTCACTGTCTTTGCTTCCCGCCTACACTAAGCAGGGAGTTCTGTTCGCAGGGGGGATGTCAATGTTTTACACAAAGTCTTCTCTTCCGGTGCTGAAGTTCACCTTATTTATAATTGTAAATGCGTCTGACATCAATGGTCTGATTCTCACTCTAGTTACAATCACTCTGGATCCTGACAGAGCCAATCCCAGGCTCATCCTGTCTGAGGGTCTTTGTGACTCCGTAGAGATCCTGGAATGACCGGAGATGGACACATGAAGAGTGATGGAGCAGTCACGTCACCACAGACCAACTGCTAACAGTACGTGGGCTTTGCACTGAGCGTGGGGAGAGTTTATGTCGGTCTATATACATGCATGGCTCCCTGTTGAGATCAGATTTTTATTGTTTCTTATCTGGATTGTACCTAAACTTTGCTCCAAGGTATCGGATACCAACATTAATCCAGAAAATCTTTCCTCCAGTTTCACTCTGGCTGCTGATACAATAGAAACCGATGAGCAGAGAGAAGACACTGAAACTCAGACCAACAGCAGGTGGGTTTTACGTCACTTTTGATCCAGATCATGTCATTCAGTCACCAGTGAAGTCCGGTAGTGTAGAGGTTAGAGCACTTGCCTCACAAGCGAGAGAACCCGGGTTCGATTCCTGGGCAAGGCAAAACCTTAGGCAGCTTTCCTTATCTCATATGCCTCTGTTTAACCGAGCAGTAAGCAGGAAGCTGATTACAAGTTGATTGACAGATCGCTTTCTTGGGGTAATAATCCTTACAAAAAAAAAGTTCACTGAATCCATGACTGTTTGTGGGACACTGCTGTGTGCAATTAGCTGCCGCGTTCCACTGACAGAATACACAATGAATCCGTTTCACAATGTGTTCTGTGAAATGCTTTTTATACGTCTAAACAACGTAATAAGGTGCTGTATCAAATGCAAGGATTATTCTTATTGTTATTACATTGTACTAGTTACACTAGTTACCAGTTATAGAGGATCATTGGAAAGTACCCCAGAGAGACGTGAGGCTCAGAGGATGACGTTACTTAACCTTAAGTAACCCCTCACCGCAGTCCACCACCGTCTCCATCCGTACCTCATGACCATAGCAGCCGAAACCCTTGTCCAAACCTTCGTCACTTCCCAGCTGGACTATTCAATGCCCTCCTCGCTCATCTCACCAGCTCCACCAAGCACAAAATTCAACTAATTCAAAGCTCCGCTGCCTGATACTCACCTGCATCAAACCGTACCCACATCATACCAGCCCTTGGCAGGCTCAATTGGCTGCCAACTACCGAATGGATTGACTTCAAGATCCTCTCACTCGTTTTCATATCCCTTCATGCACTCGCACATCGCTTACATCCCCACTCCACCACCCGCTGCCTCCGCTCAGTTGGCTCCAGCCTCCTGTTTGTCCCTCGAGCCCTCCATTCCACCATTGGTAGCCGTGCCTTAAGCCACAACACCCCAAAACTCTCTCCCTCAATCTCTCCACCTTGCTCCCTCCCTCCCCACCTGTCTAAAGACCTTTCTCTTTGATCATGCTTATGGTCACCCCCACCTCCACCACCCCCTTACTTTGGAGGAAAGATCTTCTGGATTGATGTTTGTAGCAGATAGTTTATTTTGAGCAAAGCTTACACACTGGGTACAATCCACACACAAACCAATGGAAAGCTGATGTCAACAGTGTTGGGAAAAAGGAAGCCCGGGTTCGGTCAAAAGACTCGGCAAATACCAAATATGGCGTGACACACCTTTGAATGCTTTATTTTGATACCCAACAGGTAATATCAATCATACAATACAAAGAAAGTTAAATGATCCAATAAGCAATACTAGAATACAATGATTATATCAAAGCAGAATGATTATACTTGATTATATTATATAAAAAAAACATTGTTTACATGCAGTTAAGAAATACTCATACTACCAGTTCACAGGAGTCAACAGCAGCCGTTCTTCATGTTCTCTCTCTTGAGCCCGAGCAGCTTAGTGATATACTCCCAAACTTATTATGGTGACCCTCTGATCTCTGCTCCCGGGCTGACTATCTCCCTCTTGAGTCGTCCTGCTCTTCTAACCATTCTCAACTAGAGGTGGACTAGTCATACTCTTTCTCCAAGTATTCTTTTCCTACGGCCGCTCTACTCATTTCTGATACTGTCACATACTCAGGTTACTCAACCTGGCTTGGAGCCACCCTGACTTGAGTCTCCACGAGGTCTTCCCTCGTGGGGAAGCCAAAATGATTGATTGGTTTAGGGCCGTTTCTGGTGATCATTATTTTGTTATGTGGGATCGTTAGTTCATTTCTTTTAAGTGAACGGTCATTTCTTATCAGTATCCCGGGATGGTACCAAAGTCCTTCAGCTTAAACAACTTGCTCGTTAGTTCGCTATTCTTGAGGGTTGCCTTCGGTTGTTTTGCCCTGTCAGAATCCAGAGACTTATTGCTAAGCCGAGATGCTGTGTCGACCGACCGGTACCTTGGACCGTTATCTCTGTGGCTTGGAGGGAGGGAGGGCGGGGCACTAAGGGGCGGTGTGTGAGCTGGTGAAAGACCCACATCAGAGGGTTAGTTGGCGAATACAGGATAAACAGCACTGATCGTGTACCGCCGCCGGCAAAGGGCGCTGGTGAGTGACTGGAGCCACTCAGGTTCCAGGTGAGTGTCAGATATTCACACACCTTCAGTCTGAGAATGGGAGACATGTACCTGGGCTGATGCTGTGTCTCATGTCTCTCCAGACTGCGTACTGTACAGGCCCTTTGTATATCCCCACCGGCAGATCACCCTCAGACACTGACAGCTCAGAACCCTCCTCGCTGATCCTGAAATAAGAGACGTTCACATTATAAAGTGAGACTACCCGTTGCGTTTGGTTTGCGCAAATTAAATTCTGGGAATATTTTGCAACAGACTTTTCATACCTTCTGTCCTCAGCAGCTTCCCCCCTAATTAAATAAAACAGATAAACGCGAGCTCACACCGAGACACAACATTGTAAGCTCAGATACAGAGAATAGAATTCTACAGCACGCAGTTTTACTGTAATTATTGCAGAAATGTTAGTCACTCAA